ACACCATGCTGAGTGCAACCCAGGACTGCAGACATTATAAACCCTTCAGTTCTGACTGCAAGGGGTCCCCTGCAAGCACATGTGTCTCAGGCAAGAGACGAAGCTGACCTTTAGCAGAAGCCTGCTTGGCAAGTGGCTTCAATACCTGCCTGGAGAATAAATTCACCAGTTAAAATTGACCATTTTCATGCAGCACTTAATTTAATGAAGACATTCTCCCCCATGGAGAAGACTTGCTCATAAAGACTCTGTCTGAAGGACAATCGGAGCAAGCTCTGATGATGATGGATTGCTGGGATGAAATGAACTTTTTACTACTGCAGTTCCAGATGTTCCTACAGAGGCCAGCTCTTGCTAGCCAGTGCAGAAGCGTGTTGGCAGCACGTTCTTACAAGCATGGATGATGCCCTGTTGCTCAGACATCCACTCCAATCACACAGCCTTTAGCATTGACTCAAAAACCTGCTTTACCTTTATGTTTGTGTTGAATGAGCAACAGTGGCAACTGGAAACAGAAACATGTGAGAGACAGAAGTTCCTAACATGGGAACACACCGCCCCAAGGCTATCCTTGCACAGGCATTTTCTCTAGCCCTCAGCCTACACTCTTTATCCCTTGGATTAACACAGCTAGTCACTGTATTCACTGTGTGCCACTATTTGCTCATAGCTGAACACACAAACTTGGCATGTAAGAAATGGCTCTCAGAAGGAAAATCTAGACTTCTGGGTATTTGGTATGTCTCTAATTCTGGCTGCTGTCATGCCAGGCACTTAGCATGGATGATGTGCCATGCTCTGAATCTGCACCATCTGCTGCTCGTTAGCTCACAAAGGCAGCAACATGCCATCTCTCCACTAGCTGTTGCTCATTAGCTGACAAAAGGCATTTTCAGTGTTCACATTGTTCTTTCTGTAATAATCCAATACAAAGATATACAAAGAGCAAAGACAAGAGGAAGCAAAGATGACAGAGTAAATTATAAGCTTAACTAAGAATATTAGCATACTCTTAAATCTCAAGGAGACAATCCTTCCAACAACGGCACGTGGGTCTTAGCCCCAAAGGAGTATGTCAGCAGGTAGGTATAAAGGTCAGCGCTACAGATAATCCATTTACTTCAAAATGTTTTGAAACATGCAAGCACGCTTTCTAGGCTCTTTCCATTCAGGTTCTCTATTTTGTGCCATTTTGGATCTTCCATATCTGATAACAGACAGAGAACAGAGTAGCTGACAGCATGCAGCTCCCACCTTGACTAATGTCAAGTGCTTGCTTGGGGTTAGCAAGCACTAACCCCAGCTATATATATGCCTGGTATGCAACCAGAGCAGGATTTAGGAGCTACGCAATCAACACCTATAAGCTCCACAGGACAGTCTTGTGGAAGAAAAATTCTGCATTTGTCAAGTGAAGCCTCAGCTTCCATTGTAAATCATCTACAGAGCTAAAAAGCAGTAGTAGTAGTTAAAAGCCCACTAACGTTCAAAAGAAACCTGCATGACAGATATTGGACTACACAGGCTGATGAGCAATCCAAAAGACAAGAACCAGCAGAGCTGGGGGAATGAACTACAAAAGGGTTCTCCATTTTGGGAGATGCACTGATGATAGCAGATTAATCAATCTGTAGAGAACTGGAAATACTCACAAAACATTTACACTGCTATGGTCAATTAATTCTTTTTCAAGCTCAATTAGTGGCTTGGAGGAAAAGCCAAAGAGTTACTCTGCTTCAAGGAGAAGCAGTTCTTATTTACAACAATGAGAAGTCACTGTCTCAGCTAATTACCTCCCTCTTATGCCTTTTCTCAACCCTCTTCCCCAGATAAAACCAGGTAAAATTTTTCTGTCATCACATCACCATGACAGAAGGCAAGAGTACAAGAAATGTTCTGTGCACTAAACAGCATACAGACAGCTGGCATGGGAAGTGTTAAACTGATGACGGGTCAGGGCACAGAGGAAGCAACAAAGATGACAGATGGTATGGATTCTGGCAAAAGTGGGAGATGATGAAAAAGCCCACAAGCGAAGTGACATGGTTAACAGAGATGGCCCTGCACAGCAGGAGACAGAAAAGGGACCAAAGGAAGAGAGGGAAGAGATAAGACATGAATGGAAAAGGTGCAGGTAATTCTGCTTTGCATCTTATTTCCTCCTCACACCCAGACCAGCACTTTTCACTCGCTGGCTGCAGAAAATGAGAACCAGACCATGAGTTGTAAGTTTTCCTGTTTGAACAGGGACAGACAGGATGAGATGCTACAGCAATGGAATTGATAAAATGTTGCTGGACATCCACATTCAACCGTAAGGCAATCTAAAAGAAAGAGAAAGACTGCACATAACCACACACGTGTGCATGAAACTTCCTCAGTGGGCACGCCAAAACAGGGCACACTTGTCTTCACAGAAATACCAGTCCACAGTACCAAATGAATCGTGTAACCAAACTCCTGTTCACACACAAACACATTAAAGCAAGATTAAAGCCTTTCAATGTGAACTAGTTAGTCGATAAGGAATCACAGACAAAGCAGCTTAAAGCACGGCTCAGAGTAGTAACACACTGGGAAGTCAGCCATTTCATGCTGCTAATGCAACTCCTATGGCTTTGTCTTCACTATCAACAGCTCAGCTAATGCAAAGCAACGTCACAGCAGAAAACAAAGGACTCCAATTTTGCTGCAAGGTAAGTTTTCGTAAGTAGAGCCCTAGCCCAAAATTATTAAAAAAGTTTTATACCTATATCTATACACACACACACGCTCCAACCCTTGCGATGCTAGCATGACACCTTCAAGCATGGCTGTCCTCCCTGGAGTTGCCTGACACAAGTAACACAACACACGCTGGTACAGTGACACAACCAGATGTGATGCACATACTTACACATTTTGAACGTCAACTGTTCTTACTTTTCAACTGCTGTTTCTGCAGTCAAGAACAACAATTCCTGGGCTCCTACATTCCCCTCTCCCACTCACTAAGGCCAGAGGATCTGAATGTTAATTGCACTGCACATCTTCAAAAATTGTTTGGTTTAGCGTCTATCTCATCACTGGAAACTGATCATGTACTAGGAAAAAAATTTTCCCAGTGCGCATATCCAAACCCTGGAACAGATGCCCAGTGGGGCTGTGGACTCTCCATCCTTGGAATTGTGCAAAACTTGACCAGACAAGGCCCTGAGCAACCCTGATCCAAGTTAGTCCTGCTCTGAGAGGGCAGCTGGACCAAAAGACCTCCAGAATCCTTTCCAGCCTAAAGTAATCTAGGGGCCTATCTTTGCCGATTGACACAAGCTGGAGCGGGGAGAAGAGACAAGTGATTTTTCTTCTTCCTTTGCCCTTCCCAGACAAGATGCTAGGGCTGCCTTTCAATGCCTTAACTCTGAGCTAGGAACTCAGCTAACACCAGATTTGGGCTGTATAAGCCCATCCAAATTGTGATTACTTTCTGATGTAAAAGACTGGTTGGTAACACTGTAACAGTACACCATAAGAATGGGACCATTTTCAAAATTCATCAAAAGAGCAAACCAAACTTTTTTAGCTATACACACTGTATGTATATACTTACATACCTAAGTGACTGAACTGTCCCTCTGAAGCTATTAGCAAAGCTAGGTGCTTAGCAGGATTCAAAAGGGGATGTTTCGTGGGTTAGAAGGATCATCCATCCTTGAGACAGTAAGCCAACTGCCTCAATTCAGACATAAGCCAACAACGCAAAACCTTCCCAGCTTCCTTACTAATGCTGTAATTCTGTCTCCCAGTGAATCCTCTCACACCCCATGTCTCTGCCATGGTGCACAGACTGTAGGTACAAAGGCATATTCAGTATCCCCCACACACAGTGGCTGGTTCGTTAGACATGCTCCTCATGGCAGCATACACAGAGTTAAAAGCTGCCTACTAAAATGGAGAGGATAGAGATGCAGAACAGGCAGCTTGAAGCTCTCTGAATGCATTACAGAACGTTGTTTGCATGAATATTAATTTTTTGTTTGGAGATTCAGATGAGCACTATCTCCATTCTGTTTTGGCTTATCTGACCTGTTAACAGCAGGCCAGCACAAGATATGAATCCCTTGCTCTCCCTGTTGTCTCTTTTCCATGCTAATTTTACATTTATGAAGGTGATCAGATAGCAGATAGATGTATGGGAAGAGGAAAGAACAGTCTAATTATGTCCGTTAATTTGGGCAGGATCAAAAGGATGCTCATCTAGAACACTGTTAGCCAACCAAGTGGGCTGGAAGTATTTGAATAAAAAACCCAACAAAGGACAATTCTGCAGAAACTTAAATTCATAGTTGCAGCATAGCCTAGATCAGTGGGGTTTATTTGAGTCTGCCATGACAAGAACAACTTTTATGAACTGTCATTTTGCAGCTATTTATATTTTATCGTCAGTTACTGTGTTCACTACTGTCTGCAATTCACTAGATCCAACTGATTTTGGTAAGGAAATTTTTGAAGAGTCACAAAGCGTATTTTCCTGTTACTGATTCATGGGTAAATACCCAGCCCAGCCTTCATTAAGAAAATCTTCATTAAGGTTAATGAAAATCTTCATTAAGATTTTCTAATTGTACCAGGTGAAACAAAATTCATGCAAAGCAGAGGATGACAACATTCTTAGAGACAGAAAACCTCCTGGTTTGTATCTTATAAATACAGAGAAGTGCCATCATTCAGCTTGTTTTAAGAAGCAGAAACAGCACACCAAAAGTCATGCTAGCAGCATATTCAGGAGCCAGGTAATGAGGAACCTGAGAGTCACCCAGCTGTTGTCATCAGGAACATCTCACTGAAAGGTACAGGTTGAACTTTGGACGTTTTTTATTCTTGCCAAAACTCCTGCTAATATAAATTCTGCTAGGGTTTAAACAGACATGCATGACAATGATCAACCCTTACAACAGGTCTATCCTTTCCTAAGATGTTAAAATCTGAGTAAGAAAAAAAAATTAACCTGTCTTCAATGTTGCGACAAGCCTGATGCTTTATAAAGACTGCAAAGCATCAGATATTTTATACAGACACTTTTAATGCCTTAGAAAGGGAGAAAAGCTCACTGGCGTAAAGCAGAACTATGTGTGGAGATTTCCACGCCAGTTATTAAAGCCTCCTTATTTTAAAAGGGATGGATAACTGGCGTTAAAGAAGAGGCATCAAGTTAAAAAAAACAAGAGCATTTAATAAAACATGGTATTTCCAGTTAATTTGGAAGAAGCCATTCTTTCTTCCTTCTGCTCCATAAGCGAAGCTAATGATGTCTTGGAAGTGTCCTGGGAAAAGTAAGCTTCTTATAATTTGGCTTAAGTTTAATGAAAACCTCCATGAAGTATATATTTAAAGGAGCAACATTTGTTAGACGAAAAGCAGTAACTTACTTCTCAGAAATTTCTCAGTCACTCTAGAATCACATGAAATTTGAGGGTTTTTTCACTCCCAACGGGATTTCAAATCATAGTGTTAACGCTGCAGCATAATCTTGCTGTCTGGGTAAAACATGTAGGCTAGCAAGTTTCATGCTAACTAATGGTTGAATAACATTAACTAAAGCTTAATTAATGCTAAGAAAAAGATGAAATCACTGAGGAGAACCAGACCAGACTTTTTTTAGCTCTCTAGAACTGGGAGGTCTGTAGGGAGGATTAAAACATGTAACCATTATTAGTCAATTCATTTGGTTTATTTTCCAGAAAGTTAGTGTTAAGTTTCAAAGGGTTAAGAATTACATTTTGACAGGAGAGAACAAAAATAACATGATACAGTCAACAATTTTGAAATGAAAGGAACTAGTCTTCATAGTAGTGGAGGTCAACTTATAGCACTAGGCCAGTGTGCTGAAGCAGTATACGCAGGATTCCTAAAAAATCACAGGGCATCACCCTTCCACTGGAAGAATTGTAAGTCAGATCTGTCTCAATTTATCCAGCTGTGAATAGGGGTGTAGGTACCTGCTACCAAGTGTTGTATTAAAATTGGACAATTTGAAGAACCTTAAAGACCTGAAATAATAAGAAAGGCTGTACAGTTTTTCTAACAATAGCTAAATTAAGAAACAGGCAGTAGCTTTGTTACTTACCTAAGATACACTACAGAACTCACCGGTAACACTACCTAGCCAAGCTTTGTGGTATTAAGCACGTTAAGTTCCTTCTCATCACTGTCATCAAAGCAGTCCGGCAGCCCATCACACTGCCAGGCCCCTGGTATACAGCGCCCGTTACTGCACATGAAGTTTCCAGGAATGTTGCATTCGTTTGTGAAGTTATTCCCAGGCAACAGTTGGCTCTCTGTGACAAACAAAAAAGAGGAAAGTTTACAGGGGATTTTAAAAATGGCTGCGAAAGCAGTCACTGAGCAAGCTGTTTATCAGTGGTTGAATGAAGATAAGACAAATGGATCTTGACCCTAGTTGTCATTATCCTAACAGTATCCTGAGTACGGTACTTGGTAACTCTCTTTTTCCTAAATGATCATTTTACCTGTTCTCCATTCACACTCCCCATTTTACAGATTTCTTTCTTGCTATTTTCTTTCTAGGAACATACATGCAGCCTTCTATGTATCCTCAGGTCAAAGCAAAGATGGTTTAAAAAAAAAAAACCCTCTCCTTCATAGGGTCAGTCTAAACACAAGTAAAACAGATGAGGCTACAAGAACTCAGCTCCATACTCCCATGCTTTTGCCAGATCAGTACTTAGCCTGCAGAATGTATTTTTGTTGTTGTTACCCAAGGGCTAGGAACTAGGTAACACATTGACTAATTCATACTAGGTTTTCAATTAAGTTTTAAACATAGTGCTGCTGATCAAAGTTAGAATTGAGCTTCTTGGTGTTAATATAGTCCCCTGGCATACATCTGTCCACAGGCTAGTAAGGCAGCTGGCACGCTAAGAGTCTGCCAAGGGGAGGGATACTTGCCAAGCAGCAGGATACTGGAGATCAAGAGACCAGTGCAAGAGGGAAACCTAGAGATTTGCCTTCAAGGTAAAACACACCTCTAGTCAGTCATTTTAATCTACCGTGTCTCCCACTTTGTGCACTGTTTTTGGAATGCAGATATCACAGAAACACAAACTTCAGTGAAGGAAGATAATGACACTCAATGGTTTTAATAAGCACCAAAATGGCATGTCATGTTGTCGAGCTGGAGGGAAGCTGCAAGACAAGGCAGAGGATGAGAGAAAGAATATCCTTCCCCCCGTCTTCCTCCGTCATGTTCCAGACTAGTCTCAGGCAACATGCACTTGACCAGGCAAAAACCAGAAACACAAACATTCCCGCAAAAGGGTGGAGGTGTCACGAAAATATGCCCCCCGGCCTGCCCGCATATTTTCATGGTTCAAAACCAGGAAGAACAAATTAAGCTGACGTGCAGCTCAATCATTTACCTATTTTGAGGATAATTGCAGGATTTTTGGAACCCTGGGGGAGTGGCAGAGCTGCAGTTCCCTCCATTGCCCACCCTACACTAGCTTGCTTCCCACTCCTGTTGGAGTCCAACTCCTTCCTCTCCCCGGGAAGGCCCGAGTTCCAGGGGCGAGGAGAACCACTATAAACACAGCATAGCAAATGCCCCACTCTTCAGTGCTGCACGGGCCACAGCTGCCAGAATCAGGGAAGACCCTTTCCTAGCTCATTCCTCCAGTCCCAGGGAGGAACCTGCTACGTACAGGCATCTCTGGAGAACTCAGCTGCCAAAACACCGAGCCTCTAAGCATGATGCTTTCCAGAAACTCCCGAATTGGCCAAATGCAGATGGTTCCCTTCCTTCCCCACAACATAGCAAAAAGTTGCATCCCTGACACAGACAAAACTGCTAAGTTTTACATCACTGTTTCAAAAGACACATGATAGGAATGCTTCAGGGAGGTTTTTTTTTTATGCCTATGTCTGCCCCAAACAACGTATTTCCTCTCAAATGTTATTTCTTGCAAATGGCTGACTCTTCTGGGGATGTTCTAAGAATCTGCCAGCACAGAGCAGATACTTCAATGCAAATTTGTCCTGAGCTGTTAAAAGACAAGGCAGTTCAGAAAAAGGTGGAAATAAGCTCTTCTGAGGCAGATGGGGCAATCTCAGCCACTGGCCACACACCCAGAGCCACTGTAACTCTCCTGCTGTAGCACCTTACAGAAAGAAAGTGACAGCCAGCAAAAAGCAAGCCCAGGCTATGCAGCTGGCAATTTGATGGTTTTTTGCTTTTAGCAGTTTCATTCAAACCTCACTTTCATTCCCTGCATCACTGCTCTTCTGATCAAGAAAGAATGTGTTTGCTCTCTACGCTGCGATGGGAAAAGGCAGCTTCCAGAGCACACTGGAAGAAGCTCAGCTCCAGCCCACTCAGGCAGGGCCTTCACTGCTCCCAGCAGCTCCCAGGGAAACGCTGTACCCAACTCTACTTCATGCCTGAGTCCCTAAATCTAAATCAGCAATGGGAACGGTTTGTCCTTGGCTAGTCTTGCCATGAAACGCTGAACAGATACGGCGCTGTCAATAACCACCCCCGGGCTAGTGCAGCCTTACAGCATCACTGTTAACTAAGTTCTGCAGTTCTATGTTCAACCAGCAAGGGCTTTTTTCTTGGTTTTGTTTTGGTTTTTTTTCCCTTAAACCAGTGATTGAACACATTCAGATCAGTCTTTGTATCACTGACCTGTACCTGGTAAGTAATCACCAAACCAAAATCACCACTCTCAAACAGCTACAGAGGGTGAAACTGCCAGCATTACACAACCTCCTATTAGCAAACAACTCCCAGTGCGCTAACACCACCTCTGCCTGCAGCTGGAGAAAACCTATCGCAGAATTACAAAACTGCAGCACGCCGTCACCAGATCTGGATGTGAAAGACATGAGATACCCAGGTAAAGGCACAGCCAATATGCCATGTTCTCAAGTTTGTTATAAAGCATCCAAGAGCTTCAACAGCAGAACCTAACTCCTTTCTCCACACTCCCCCCAAAAAATAGCTTTCAGGTCAGCATGGTACCACTGCAAGACTTTCCTGGTAGTTGTCATAACTTATTAGAGAGAATTTACAAGTTCTCAAATATTACAAAACTGAAATGTCCTGGCTGAGAATGAATCTCTGATGTAAAATGGAGTTATTTCAAGCTTGATAAGAGAACTAGGAATTACCGGGGCTTTTGCTCTCTCAGAACCTAAGCACCTAGGCAGTACATATAGGTAGCAACATTAAAAAGGTGCCATTCTCATGGCATCTCTGTTGCTCTGCCCTACCTTCTTGTCTAACCTCATACCAACATCTGTCATCCAATCTGCTCCACTTCCACGTGGAAGCTGCACCTACTCAAAATGAAAAATCCTGCTATCAACACTTAAGTGAGACCTCTTCTAGACCTGGGCAAGTTGCTAGCTAAGAACTGACACCAGGTCTCACAGCTACCGGCCCTAACTACAGAACTGTCTTCTCCTGCCTAAGCACCAAGGTGTTCCTGAGAAAACATAACTGGATGCACTTCAAGCACTGTAACACCTCCTGTGCAGAATAACCAAAGTTCAGCTCCTGTCAGCTCCTGCTGTTATCTTGCCTGAAAAACTTTAGCCATGATCTCCACACTTCTTTAATGAAAAAATTTAGACTAAGCCAAATCATTTAAGAAATTTTGAGAGTTTCAAAAAGCAAACCAAGAAACAACTCCCGCAAAAAAGCTAGAGTCCCTGTCACTTTTAACATAACTTTTAACATAACTTTACTTTTACCTTTAAATAGATGCTATACTTCTACCCTACTGAATTGAAGCAACATTCCAGGAACAGATACCAAATTTTATTTGTTACCCAGTAAGTTGCTTGTTTGTAGGATTTCCTTTGTCATACAATAAATTTATCCTCAACGTTCTTCTAAAGCAAGGATGTATTACTAACCTTTTCACCAAACAGGAAACAAAAGATACTGGCAGATCAAGTTACTTGCCGACAGCCCTACACAAGCTTTGCTGTGGAATGGGAACTCAGAACTCTGACTCAATCAAATTTCAAAGCAACAGCTATTTCCCTTCATCAGCTGCTAGAAGAGAGTTGCAGGTTACAGACGGCAATTTGAGAGTCATAGTCAACGCATCTAGAAACTTGTTACGCGCATTACTCCATCTTTAAAAAATCCATTGGTGGATAAAGAACTGTCAAAACAATTGCACATGTGGAAGTGTTTTAAATCATATTACTCCTTTTGCTTCCTTCACTTTGCAAGTCTCCTCTATCGGATGTAAAAACCTTCAAAGAAATCCTCAGTGCGGTCATCACCTCCCAACCCTCAGGAATGCGATGTTCCTGCCCACTCAGCGCACAGCCCGCTGCGTGACTCGGGGGCTCTGTGCACGCACATGAGGAGGAGCAGCATTACAGACACACACAAGACAGACATGGAAAGGACCAAACTAGATCATCTTGTCCATTTTTCTAATGAAGTCCGTACAGATGTCAGGTTTTGTGCAGCCAACTTGCTATACCGCCCGTTGGCGGGGCAGAAATTCCTTCAATCTGGCAGAGCTCGCTTTCCAATAGTTGACATATTTACCCTGCAGCCTCTTTTTTGAATTCAACCCAAATGTGAGCTACACGGATGTGTTCAGTTAAGTAAAGGAGGAAGGGAAGAAGGGGAAAGCAGTAGTCCATTTTCACTGCAACACTTGCTCACTTTAAGAAGCATACCATCTGGGCTGAATAAAAAAAGGACTTGTGTTTCACTTTGAAGGGAACTGAGTAAGGAAAGTCAATCTGTTTTAGCAGCCACTTCCAAAAACGTTAGCATCTGAATATTTAATACTCACTGAAAAAGAATCAGGGAAAAATAAATAAAAGGACAAGTCATACTGAGCACTTCACACTGTATTAAGAAAGCAAGTCAAGGATATCTTTCACAAAAAACCTTTTACCTGAAAGCACTCCAGAGAACTGTGCACATTACAGAACAGATCACTACCGATAACGCTGCTGCCTCTGTATCAGAAAGTGTAATCAGTAAGAGTAGGCAGTCACCCTGGCCAGGGAGGTTTTGAGGAAGACATACAAGACACTTACGTGTTCAACACCCTCATGAACAATGCCAGTAACTTCAGCCTCTTTGCAAAGAGGATCTATCGCCAAGGATGAAGCATGAATTCTTCACTGCCAAATCTTTGGCATGTCTTTTGTGGGAATCCTGGGATCTTCACTGGATACTTTCAATGGATTGCTGCTTAAAGTTTTTCAAATGTGAAGAGAATTATTTTGATCCAGGCTGGTATGTAGCTGTAAGGCCAAAGGGGTACTCATGATACCTTCC